TACTGTTATGAATCATAATGTAAATATCTTTTTGTTTTCCGATGGTCTTAGGCGACCCCTGTGAAAGGGTCGTTCGACCCCCAAAGGGGTCGTGACCCACAGGTTGAGAGCTGCTGAGCTAGAAGATGAGAGAGATGAAGTTTTTACTTAAATCTGCCTGATTTCAAAACTTTTCTAATTGTATCACACTCCCTCCCAACAGGAAACCCAGAGAGGTGAGTCAGTAGAATAACGAGTTTCAGTTATGTGACTACACTTACCTATAACTTTACTTTGCCAACACCCAGAAAGAAAAACTCATCCCCTTTAAATCAAATGTAATAGATGTCAAACCCTTCTGCAGCTTTTCAGTAGGACTCAATTACAGCTACTAAGAAGATAGAGTAAAATGGAGAGAAAAATCTATTGTGATCATAAACCCTTTAAAAAACATACTGACATCCCGAAGAGCATATTCGAAAATCACTCAAAAAGGATTCACCAGTTCATTTTTTAAAAAACACATAAAATATCTCAGTGGAATTGAAAGGTGCTTCTCCATGGGGTGGGTACACTTGGTCTTTTTGCTTAACATTGAAGAACAAATAGAGTATATCAAATTGCCCTTACAAGTTCATCGGTCACTGCACTCTACCCCTCCTATAACCAATAATAATCATAATCATAATCATAATCATAATCATATCTCAAAATAAAGGCAATCTCCTCCCAGAAGCTCCCATGTTGTTCTTTGCCATTTCCTAACCCTTGTCTCTGTCTTTTTCTTACTTAAGGCTTGACAAGAGCTAGGTTCTAAACCAAATCTACAATTTCCTAGCAAGCTCCAATGAGGTCTCTCATTTAAACTACCTTCATGGTATTGTAAATAAAATCATTTTGTATTTCAATATTTTCAGAAAATAATGCCTAAATCCAAATGTGCCTTTAGCACAAAAGTTGTTTTTTGTTTTCTTTTAAAGCAACTCCTTAGGGAGTAGTTGAACAGAAGAACACTGGATACATTTCTTTCAAGGGGGAAGTACAACAAAATTTCTTTGAGACTATTTAGGTTAAAGTTTCAATATTAAAAAAAAAATCCAGTGAAAAGAAAAGGATGCTATTGACCAAAAAATGGCTGTAATGTAGCTATAGGTTTATAGATTATGAAGGAGAGAAAAATCTGCAAGTTTTCAAGATCTGTCTGGCAAAAAGTTCTTTGGAATCATTTTCTTCTAGGAGGTGAAAGCTTTTTTTTAAGATGATGCCAGCTCTAAAAACAACCTTCCAGATCTCCTAAAAAGCCAAGTTCAACTTTTAATAGTGCTGTGTACTTTTGGTTTAAAAGAAAAAAGTGCAAGAGAAGAAACCATAGCCAAAACAGTAAGTTTACTCCAGTCAGCCCTCAAGCAGTACATAATGATTCCACACAGCACATATGAAGAAGGGATTAATTTTTTCCTTTAAAGGTAGAACATATACAGCTATGTCATCTATGTAATGTTTAGGTATAAGAAACAAAGAACCCCCTCTGACCCCAAAGCCCAGGGCTTTTTTTTTAAAAGGTTTCTCTAAAGAGACAATCATAAGCAAGATTTCTAAATAGGCACAAAAAACAAAGGCAGAAAAAGAAAAGTAATAGAACTATATCAAACTAAACTTTGGCACAGCAAATGAAATCATGAACAAAATAAAAAGGCAACCTATGAAACAGGAGAAAATATCTGCAAATCATATACCTGATAAGGGATGAATATCCAAATATATAAAGAATTTATATAATTCAATAGCCAAAAAAAAAACCAACAAAAAAACCCCCAAACAATCCAATTAAAAAATAGACAGAGGAACTGAATAGACACTTTCCCAAAGAAGACATACAGATGGCCAACAGGTACACAAAAAAGTGCTGAACATCACTAATCATCAGAGAAAAAAATCAAAACCACAATAAGATACCACTTCACACCTGTCATAATGGCCATTATCAAAAAGACAAGTGATAATAAGTGCTGGCAAGGATGTGGAGAAAAGGGAACCTTGTGCACTGTTGGTGGGATTGTACACTGGCATAGCTACTATGAAAAATAATATGGAGGTTCTCAAAAAATTCAAAATAGAACTACCATATGATCCAGCAATTCCACTTCTGGGTATTTATCCAAAGGAAATGAAAACGGGATTTCAAAAAGATATCTTCCTCCTGTGTTCACTGTAGTATTATTTACAATACCCCAATACCCAAGATACGGAAACAATCTAAGTGTCCAATGTGTGTGTGTGTGTGTGTGTGAATACATAATGAAATATTATAGCCACGAGAAAGAAGAACATCTTGCCATTTCCAACAATATGGGTAGAACTTGAGGGCATTATGCTACATAAAAATCAGACGACAGAGAAGGCAAATACTGTATGGTATCACTTACCTGTGTTGTCCAAAAAAGCCAAACTCATAGAAACGAAGTCTAGAATGGTAGTTACCCGGGGACAGAGGGTGGGGGCAGAAGGGAGATGTTGGTTAAAGAGTACAAACGTCCAGATATATAAGATGGGGGTCTAATGCATAGCATGGTGATTATAATTTATACTATTGAACTATATAATTGAAAGTTGCTAAGAGAGTATATCTTGAACGTCTCACCACAAGAAAGAAATTGTAATTACGTGACATGATGGAGGTATTAGCTAATGCTAAGGTGGTAATCATTTTGTAATATATAAGTATATCAAATGAACATATTTTACACCTTAAACCTACACAATGTGATACATCAATTATATCTTGATAAAGTAAAGAAATTCTAAGAAAATCAAACTGGCTCATAAGTAAGTGCCACCATAATAGACTCCATTAATGCTAAGATAATGATAAATGTTTAAATAATACAAGGTAAACAAAAATCTAGGTAAGACAAAAAATGTTTATTAGTCTATAGATTTTCACATTTCCATACAAGGTTAATCTCCCTACATGAAATGGACAAAATCTATGGGATTACTTATTTAAAATTAATTTTTAAATTTTAATTTTATCACAAAATTCATTAGAATCGCTCCCTTACAGAATTTATTTCAAATAACTAGTGTGCTTAACTGTTTCACATTTCAACTTATTTTAGAGTTGTCAAGACATAATCTAAGTCTAATGCAGGCTTCAAATAGCACTTAAAGAAACACAAGGAAGGAAACTTGGAAGTCGAGGAAGATAATTCTGAGATAAAAGCTGAGCATAGTAAAAGACAGAAATCTGCCAGAGACCTTATCTGGAGGCAGTACCACACTCCCCTGCATTATCACTGACCTGTAACCTCTTCTGCCGTTCACAAGCAACCCTTGAGTACTCTGGGACTAAGTGGCTGTTTTAAAAAGTTCTTGTGTCGTATTTACTTTTTCCTACGACCCTTATCAGAAGCCTGATGTACTCAAGTTTCATAAGTCACACACTCCAATTACCTACCTAACTGCACACCCAAGAGGAATAATCAGAAGCATAAAACGTCACCCTCATAAAAAGAAAGATAATGAGAACTAGGATTTAAAATGGACTGGTTCATTTTTAAGGGCATAGACATGGGTAAATATTGGGTTGTCAGAAAAGTCATGATGCATTTTTGCAACGAAAAACATAGAAAAAAATATATCATGACTTTTCCGAGAACCCAATAGCATCGACATTGTGCTCTTGGTAACTAAAAAGAATAGAACAAGGTTTTGTTTTTTTTTTAAACAAAAGCACCACTTCCTTAATAAATATATTCAAAATCCTTAACTTTAAAATGAGTTGTATTAAAAAGCCCATTTCTTCATGAAGATACACTTCCCATAAAATACTATAAGTGGTGGTTCATTTCTAAAGCTGACCAAATACCTACTTAACCCACAATCCACTGATAGAGTATAGTGCTGAATGAAATGTGGTAAAAGAGCTTCCACTGCTTCAAATGCATGTGAGTAGTTCAGGTGAAAGGACAGGAGCTTGGCAAAACAGAACTCCAAAAAATGGACTTCTGGGCTTCCACATAATCCGAAATGTTCACGCAATGATATACATGCATGATTTTCTTATGAGAGGGTCCATAGCTTTCCTGAAGTTCTCAAAATGGTTGTCCATAACCCCATAAAGGAAAAGAACTTCTGTGCTACATAAAACCTAATTCCTAATTACAAAGCCCTCAGGTAAATTTTATCAGGGAAATGAGGCATCATGAGAAGTTATGGTCTTCTCATACATATAATGGTAAGTTCATGGATGCAAAACTATCAAAAACCTCCTAAGTGAAGGAAAATGTACAGAAAAAAAAAACACATTTCAACATTTTATGGGGTCTGAACTGCCAATATAAGATGATACAGGAAGTTCATCTGAAATAGACGCTGATGATACCGAAGGCACCCACTGTAAAGTACATTTTTGACCAGTCAATAGCATTTGTCTGTACAGTAGACTTAGCTGCAAGCAAAAAGTGTTTATATTTGCAAGCAACCACTTAAAAATCATTCCCCATCATAGACAAACCACATGGGCAAAAATTGACCATACCTTTGTTACCATTTCTCAAAAAGGAAAATTCATCTTTTATGTACATACAATTCAAACAAACAAAAATGTGTATTATAATAACCCAAACAGGTAATAGGAACGAGTATACCTTTTAATTTTGATCATGAATTTTTGGACAATAATTCCTTTTTATATATTTTTAATGTGACTTTCAACTTTACCCAAAGGTTTCTATAAACTGATATAACAAAGTTCAAATATCGTTCTTTTCTGAATTGGGGATAGTTGATTGGTTTTGCCTTTTTGTTGAAATAATTTTGAACTGCATCGACTGTAAGGTTATTCTAAACAACAGTGTAAATTCAGATTCGTACCTACTTAAAATGTTATCGTTTGTTTACTTCTTCATTTCAAACCATGAGTCTACAGTTAAGGCATTATGGAAGTTCACCTCTTTTTCCTGTCTCAACACATTGTTATACTCAATACACTACTTTTCACAGACAGTGCCACTCACCCCTCCTGCCTTCAGCAACTTTCTTCTAAACTCCTCTGTGGGGTTGTTGAAAGTCAGCTTTTCACAGCGGAGGTGATTCACCGGTGGATGGCCTTCAAGATGCAGGAATAAGTCATAATCAAAGCGGACTTTCTTAGGTTCTTCCTAAAAGTTAAAACAAGGAAGAAAGAAGAGAGTTAGGCATAAATAGAAATTTAGAAAGCAAAGGTTTACTCCTCATAAGGAACAGAAAGAAAAGACCCAGATATCTAATAGCTACAGTGTTAAAGAAGTCCTGGGGGAAACATTATCAAGGAAATATCTACAAAGCAAAATGCAAATATCTGATAAATCAGTTTCTTGTGTTAGGGGAAAACCAAAAAGAATAAACTCATCACCTTTTCTGCAATCTTTGAAGTGGTATGACACCACCAACACAGCCACCCAACTAGAAACCTAAGACACTCCTGAAGCCACTTTTTCCTATTCCCAGTCTACCTCCCCAACCTGTTGCCATTCTCTCTCCTAAATATCTCTTGAACAAGCCCTCTAACCCACACTGTCATGTTCTTACTCACTACCCAAACTATAACTCCTTTCTCTAGTAGGTCTTCCTACTTCAAGATAGATTATTTTCAATTATTTTCAATCCCCCTTTCATTCAGACCTTGAAATTATCTACCTGAAACCAAAATCTATCGGTTTTCACTATTTGATTAACATTTCAACAGCTTCCAATTGCCACTAGGATAAAAATTTAAGCTCATATGAATGCTATATAAGGGCTTTCATGATTCTGGCTCTTGGCTCCATATCCTACCACATCCCTTCCACCCAGATGATGGTCTGGTAACACATTGCTGTTGGTTCCCGGTATTTACCTGGTTTGGTTAACTCTGGCTTGCACTCTTGCTTTACATGACTATCTTCATTGTCTACCTCCTCCATTCCTCCACATTCTGCTTTTCCTGGGTGACTTCTACTCATCCTTCTTCATTCAGCTTTCACTTTTTGGAAGCCATCCTTGAACTCCACTCCCAGCTCCCCACTGCCTCTCTGCTCTGTGTGTATCTGTTTCTTATCCTTGACACATTTTAGAATAACTGTCTTATTATCTCCCTTTACCCTGATGGATCATTCTTGAAAACAGGAACAATGATTGAATCATCACTATACCCTCAACAACTAGTATAGTGCCTGCGCATAGTAAAAATCAACAAATACCTGTGAGATGAATAAAAGGGTGCCATTTTCCTGAACTGGTAGGACAAAATAGCATAATACCCAAGAGAAAACAATCATTAGAAGTTCATCATACCCAACTTATACTCTTGAGCTATTACTTTAGTTGGCTAAACATTTAAGCATCCAAGGTGAAATGAAGACTGAAGATAATAATAAAAACAATAACTAATAAGAACTTTAATTTTATCTCATTTAATTCTCATAGCCCTCCTTTGGGTCAGTGGTGAGCACTGTTTTGCAGATTAGGATATTAAGGCACTTAGAATTTGTTATATTACTCTACATAGAAACTCATTGTGTATTACAGATATTAACCATCTCTCTGAAATAGTACATTTTTTTTCATTTGTCATTAGCTTTGCCATTTTTTGTTTTCAGAGTTCATCCATGTTGTAACACGTCAGTACTTAGTTCCTTTTTATGACTGAATAATACTGTATTGTATGGATATACAGGTTTTTCTTTATCCATTTCTTGGTGGAGAGACATGTGAGTGTTTCCACTTTTTGACTATTATGAATAATGGTGGTATGAGCATTTGTGTACAAATTTTCATTTGGACATGTACTTTCATTTCTCTTGGGTATATAGCTAGGAGTGGAATTTCTGGATCACATGGTAACTCTACGTTTTAACATTTTTAGAAACTGCTTTACTCTTTTCCAGAGTGACTGTACCATTTTAAAATCTCACCAGCAATGTATGAAGTGTTTGTGGTTTTTTAATACATAAAACTTTTATATTTTACATAGTCAAACAACGTTTTCTTTTTAAAAAAAAAGAATTTGTTATATTACTAACACATGATGAAACAAAGTGATTTGAACCCAGGTCTTTTGACTAAAAAGTCTGAGCACCTGAAACTGTCAGAACTTAGCATTACCTATTACAAATTCATGATTACCACCTCCTCTTCCAAACTTCCCCAAATCATAGTCTCCACTCATTTGGGATGAAACCTGCTCCCCTCTTTTATCATCAGGCCATTCTTTCCTGGTTTTCCTCACATTTATTGGCATTCCTTCTCAGTCTTCTTCACAGGTTTCCCTTCTTTCTTCACTGACTCATACATGTCCTTTAACTTTTGGCAAAGTTCCCCAGGGAGGTGACACCCACTCCCAGGGAGCCAGTTCCACCTACATGCAAGTGACCCCCTGCCCCCCCCAACCCCACCCCATCTCTATCTTCAGCCCAGCTCTTACTTGGCTGTCATATGCATGTATTCCACAGTCTACCCACATCTCCACTAGGATGAGTGAGTCGCAGCAACACAAAATTCATACATTATCTTAAACTTAAATTATCTTTATCTGTGCTTTCTTCTATACTCTGCACTTGGGCAAACAGAAATCCTAGTTGCTTGTCAAGGTTAAAATACACAAAAATCACCCCCAACTCTTCCTTCTCCGTCACTCATCACAGTCAAATTGTCTCCATGTTCTATTTTAGTGTTCTTCCTTAGGGACTCTCAAATCTATCCCCTTTTCTCTAATTCCCATAACCAATGCCTTAGTTTAGACCTTCACCTTCCTCATCAGGGTGCCTCCCTGTGAGTGAACTTACCCCATTCTATCTCTCACAATGACAATAGAGTGATCTTTCTAATACAAAAATCTGATTACATCTTTTCATTGATATAAAAGCCTTTAATAACTCATCATTTTCTACAGGATAAAATCCCAATTTCTTGGAATAACCATCATAGCCTTTTAATACCTTTCCTGTATTTTCTTCCTTCTCGTATTACACCCTATCCTTTTATAATACCGCATTCATTTTGCCTTTCGCATATAGTGCTCCCATGCCTAAAATATCTTCCCTCCCAACATACTTCCCTCCCTTGCCTGCTTAATGCAAATTCATTATGCAATACCCAGCTAAAGCATGAAATCCTCTGAAAAGTCTTCATAACTCCCCCAATCCAATCTGAATTAGACATCCCTCTTACAGCATTCCTTTATTAATGTAATTATCACATTGAATTATGATCATTTTTCACTTATCTGCTTCCCTCTAAAGTGCAAAATAGTCAATCCAACCTTGGAACTAATTAAAAACATAAGAAAAGCTGTTTTCTGCCTTATAATTTAGGAGTACAAATTTGGCAGAGCCTTTTGGGAAGACATTTTGGCAACATCCATCAACATCCTTAAATGCATATGATACCCTCACCCAGTAATTCTACTTCTAAGAATCGCTTTCACACAAATATTCAAGTATTTGTGTGTGTGTGTGGCCAAAAAAATGTATACACAATTTAAGAAAGGAAAACTGTATTGAAATTATAATACTCAATATATACCAATAACAAAAGATGAATACAAGTCACATTTGACTTCTACAGTTACAAGAGGTGCTCAAGGTGGTTATCATCAGCATCCAGACACATCTGATTTTGTTGAACTACTGCTTGAGCAACACTGACCAAAGTGTCCACTTGTATACATTTTTTTGGCACCCTAGTATATATATATTATAAAATGTTCATGGCAGCATTATTAATAATAGCAAAAAAAATAGAAATGATATGCATGTGAGTATATCATTACCATGGAACACCACTCAGATGTTTAAAAATACTGCCTTGGAAAAGGATATTGCTAAGTAAATTAAAAGCAAGTCACAGAAAAATATTAAAGTATGATATATTATGCAACTGCCAATCTCTACACTGACATACATTATTATCAATGAAAATGCATGGAGAGAAATCTGCAAAGGCTATATCAAATAGTTAATAATGATTAAATGGAGTCAAGAGAATAGAACGTCTAAGTTTTACTCCATACACTTTTACTAGGAGTATATGCCTGCATATTTTTTAAAGATAAAGATACATTGATGAATATAATTACCATAAGAAAAAGAACGAAGAAATAACAACATCACTTTATAGTCAGCAAAAGTTTAAAACAAACAAAAATCATTTTTCAATAAAACTAAGGGTAAGGACTGCAGAAAATGACTATCTTTCTATGAATCCCGAGTGCAATGTTTTTTAAAGACTTCTTTTTTGAGTCAGGAAAAGGTACTCATAAATTTGTATCCTAGCCAACTGAGTATCTTTCTTAGATAAGGCCTATCAATATTATGTCAATCTATGCTCCTGAGAAAAGAGCCTTCTCCAAGTTCAAACAAGAAAGCATGTGTGTGTGTGTGTGTGTGTGTGTGTGTGTGTGTGTGTGTGTGTGTNTATATATATATATATAATAAAGCTAACGCATTTTTAGAGGTGAAAATCTGTTTTTGGCAACATCGAATCACCCCTCTCATTCTGCTTCAGTCCTTGACAGTTACTCGTGTTCTTTCTCTGAGGATAGAAAGAGAGAGAGAAGCATGGGATCCTTTCAAACCTAAAGTGCTACAGTCACTTATGGTTTAGTGTGCCTGTTGGTTTCGAGTTTCTGAAGCTCACATGATTCTCATAGATAGACTTGGGCTGTTGAACACAAATACAAAATAAGACAGAATGAATATACACGAACTCAAAAGAAGCACTGACACTCCAACTCCCCTCTTGACTCTAACCTCTCAAGTAAATGAGCAAAACTGAAAGCAAGCTTATTGGAAGCAGAGAAAGCACAAGGATAGAGAAGGGACCAAGAACAAGATGACAATCATAATATGTAGTAGAAGGACTCTTCCAAGATCACATGGAGGTTTTTGGCTGCTTTCTCTCACCTCCTATGAAAACTTTGAACACTACTTTTTCACCAACCATTATTGTAATGCGTGTTCATTCCTCATGACAGAGTTGAGTAAACTCTAGGGATAATAAAATAACAAATACTCAAAAGAAATGGCCTTAGACAAGCCAGGCAATCTTTCAGTGACTCAGTTTCCTTTTCTTTAAAGTAGGAAAAATAGTACTTACCTCTCAAGAGTTCTTATAAACCTACTAAATGAAGCAACATATGTAAAGGGCTTGGAACACTACCAAGGACAAAGTAAGCATTCAAATATTTAAATACACAGATACAGGTTACTGTCAAATATGTTCCCAAAATATCAATATAAAAAATGAATTAATGGGAGTAGGAGTAGAAGGTTTGTAGGGAGGTGGTGCAGCAGGTGGTATGCATGAGGAGATGGGCTCAGAAAGAAACAAAAACTATGGAGAATAAAATCTGTCTCTGTCATCCATACATTCCTACTCTTCAGGATAGTTTTATTATACTTAATTAAAAGTCATTTTTATCATAAAGAGATTTTTGCTGGATCTTCTACACATTGAAAAATGCAGTGGGGTACTATTGCAATGGAAGGTCCTGACATTAAAGGGTGGCTTATCAGTATTCTCATATTTTGCTGTGCATGAGAATTACCTAGAAGGCTAGTAAATATGCAGACTCCCAGGCCCTGGTCCCAGAGATTCTGACTCAGGAGAGCTGGGCTACAACCTGAGAATGCCACTTCTAACATTCTCTGATACTGCTGGTCCAAGGACCATACTTCAAGGAGCACTGCATTGGGTAACATTAAATTCTATTGGCTTGGTTCCTTTAAAAAAAAGGGTGTGGGGGGTGAATTATCTCACTTTTGGGCAGGTTTTAGAAACTATGATTAATTTGGAATAAAAGAAAGGAACAGTGTGATTAAAAATAATAGCTAGCATTTACTAAGTACTTACTTATATATGAAGCATTATTCTAAATACTCAGATTTATTGTATCTAATCCTCCTAGCCACCTTAAGATGTAGATACTCTTATACTACCTCCATTTTATAAATAAGAAAAGTGAGCTTCACAGAGATTGAACAATTTGTCCAATATTATATGGTCTGTGTTTTTATTCATATTTGTACCATTGAAAGGTTTTAAATCCATAATACCGCAAGTTGATATAATTGTATATGTGTGTCATATGTGTGTATATCAGCTTAAGATAAATGAGAGATTATTCTTTGAAAGTCTCAAAAATTCTAGAAATATGAAAGTGAGAAAAGGAGTATTTCGCTGAAAAACCATAATTACTCTTTTCTATTTTACAAACATATATTAATCTTCTTTTTCAAGTAATAATCATTCTTTTCTTTAAAAGAACGTTTAATGAATTTCATATAATTTGACTTCATATAATTGAAATTATCTTTTCCTAGCCAATTCCTCTATAATTAAGGGTAACAATAGCCAAAATTCCTAAAAGACAAATTTAGCTTTTATTTAAAATCATCTAGTGATAGAAGTGCTTATGAATCAAAACTATTTTAAACATCATTTGGTTAATGGAGGATCTTCTACTGAAAGATTAATGGGCAAAGATTACATACCTTGTTTTTAAAATAAACCTCAATTGGCAAAATGAAACCAGCATACCCAGATTCTTCTACTTTGTAAGGTGGGTCTTTGCACACTGCAACATTAAAAATAGAAAATAGGTGAGATGAGTATATAACAGACAAAAACACATTCTTTACAAAAAAAAAAAAAAACAAAAAAAAGGATATCTCATTCTACCATCTATTTGGTTGTCGGAAAAGTCATGACACATTTTTGCAATGAAAAACACAGAAAAAATACGTCATGACTTTTCCAACAACCCAATAGATCATCCTCAGTTTTCATAGCCCTTTGCCAAGCCCCCCCATCTGCATCTCTGGTCTAACCTTTATTTCTTTTCCAGAATCTACAATAATTTTCCTATATAAAGCATATATCTAAGTTATTTATTCAAATTGATGGGGGCAGCATATTACAGTCAACCATGATCATTAATGATGACTTCAGTTGTTATCACCGTGCCTGAAAGCTTTAGGGAAACTAAGGATAGCTCCTTGTGACCCAAAGCTTGAAAGTTTCCTAACAAAAGAACCGTCCAGTCTTTGATGTAAATCACTCCATCCTAAACCCCTCGCTTCTCTGAAATATCCTGATTTCTATGCCAAAAAGTGGCAGGACCACCCTCCTGCCTTAGAAAAATCCCAAACCCAGATTCTCCCAATGTTATTGGTGCCCATGAATTTGCTCTCCTCTATTTCCCCTAAAAAAAGAATGCTTATTGAAATACTGGTATACATACAAACACTTAAAAATCTATTCACATCATAAGTATATATAAGACACAATAAGGCTTTTATATTTCTTATGAAAGAAGACTATTAAGAAAGACGACTTAGGCAAGCTCTTGGGAAATGAGAGACACCCTAGGAAGCTAAATATGATTTCATCCCACTCAAATTTCCATTAAATCAAAATCAGCCACAAAGCCAACTGGAATCATTCTAGGTGAGACTGCATTTGGTAGTATCACAAAGAAATAAAAGTGTACATGCTGAACGTCAAGGCCACACACCCTGGTAGCCCAAGTCCTCTGCAACAGGGCTCCAGCTCACCTTTCCAGCCTTCCTGCTTCGGCCACCCACCAAACCCCTCCTGTGCTTCACTCCAATGCATCAATTCCCCTCAAATATGCCCAGCATTTCCCAGCTGTGCCCTATCCTCCCATTACTCCTTCCATCACACCTTGATGCTATTCTTAGTATTTCTCTGATAGTTCAAATCCCAACTTCTTCACAAGGCCTTTCAAGACCAGAGAGTATTATCATCTCTTCTCCTTTTACCATTCCAAAGCATTAACTGCCTGAATCACTGGTTTGACACAACAGAGTTCCTTATTACTATATATTCAGGGATTACTATATATAAATTTCTTTTCATTCCTCAAAGACAGGAACATTTACCTTAGGAACACAGAGAGTGTCAAGGGCTCAAGCAACCCTAGGTGCCAACCCAGGATTCACCTCAGACTAGCCAGGCAACTTCTGACAGGTTACCCCATTTCTCTGTATCTTGGGTTCCTCTTCTGGACAGTGTAAGGGTTAAACAGAATGATGTACGTAAAAGCACAGATCCTGGCACACAGAAACTCTCAATAAATACTGAAGTGAGGCGGAAAATCTAATCTGTAAAGTACCCAATTGTCATGTAAACTTTTCGGATGAAAATAGAAAGGAGGCAGTAAGTAGGGAGCCCTGGATTTGGATGAGAAGACTCAGGTCCATGGTGCTGGACTAAGGATTCTCTAGACCGCTTCCATTTCCTTTCCCTTTAAAAGAGAGAACACCATCTACACATCTCTAAGCATGGCTGTCAAAATGCAAGGAGATTATATATGTGGGGAAATACAAGTGTGAGGCTAATACAGACAACGATGATGATGTACATGAAAACTGGTTTGACATTCCACAAGTACAGATATGGTTGCAAAGAGGTAGGCTGAAGAGAGGATTTTAACACTTGACTGTCTCCTTCAGCCCACCTTAGAACCATTTCCCCAAACTGACATCAGGAGTTAATCAGGAATGAGACATCTCACCTGACCTTACATGTTTCTTTAATAAAATATGAAAAAGCCAAAGGACGCAGGGTGGCATGAGTCCTTCATCCACTAACCACCTGCCAACCTGTCATGAATATTCAAATACCCTGAACACGGAGTGGGTGGTTAATGCCTCTGAATGCACCGAACACCCCTCACCCACCCCAGCTAGTATTACACCCACAGCCTTTCCAGGCTGCAAAGCCCCTTTTCAGAACAGCAGTTTCAGTGTCCAGGTTGTTGGGGATTAATCATGCCAATGTCATTTGAAGGAAGTTTATTCTGTGGGCTGCTGTACATGCCAGAGAAGTTATAGCTTTTCCTCTATGCACCCTTTTGTATAATTCATTTTCTCTATTCTACATGCAAATTGCTCCTATTATAGGAAACAGCTGTTAGTGAGCACATCTTCTAGTTGATAGTCTTAGATTTTTTTCCACCCACTAAAGGAAATTATCTGTTGTGTATTAATATTCCATAGAGGTCTGGTTTTATAAGCAAGTGTTTATCAACACATACCTCAATTATTTTTAAATGTAATACTTTCATAAATAACAATGAACAATGTCCGTAGAGTACCGTGTTCTTAATTAGAAGCAAACAATATTTTATATACAATAAACATGCCAGAAAATCAGTAGCAATATGAAAACAAACTTGCAGTTTTAATCTGAAGACACTCAAATTAGGGGAAATAGTTTGCTGATTTATTTATTCAAGCATCTTATAACCAGAATCATTAACATAAGTTCCTAACCTAGCTCTTTAAAAGAAACAGGAGTTAAAACTAAAAAAACATGTTAGCCTGTAGGATAGTACAATAGACATAAAGCGATTATTTTTAAACTAGTAGAACCACGTTTTGGATCTTCTTCTGTCAGACAGCTGCACTTCTTCATTACGAATCCCTCTTCTACGATCACTGGCCATTTTGTCACTTTTATAAGATTGAAGCACCTTAAACCCTTCAACCCCTTCTTCGTATCAATTGTTCAAGAATCACATAATCCTTAAGACCTATGTAATAAAAGGCGAAGTTTCAGAAGTTATTGAAGGGATGCTCATCTTTGAAAAGCCATCAAATGTTTTTACGTGACAATAAAATGGAAGGATTAATATTCAATCTTTAAACTATGGAAATTTAATTCAGTAGAAATCACTGGAAACTCTTATTCCTGTCAAAATCCAGTCCAGATATTAGCCATTTCAGAACATCTCCCTTGTTCCTCTTCCAAGCTTATCAGGCTGGTGGATAACATTCATTCACCTCTCAGACTCCTCCACTAGACTGAGCCATGACGTCAGCAACCCAGTAATTATTCATATCTGTAACTCCAGGCACTAACACTGAGCCAAATAATAGGTGCTTTACAAATGATTGCTGAATGGAATTTCTTTCTTTCTTTCTTTCTTTTAAATTAAAGTTTATTGGGGTGACAATTGTTAGCAAAGTTACATAGATTGCAGGTGTACAATTCTTTAATACATCATCTATATATCACATTGTGTGTTCACCACCCAGGGTCAGTTCTCCTTCCATCACCATGTATTTGACCCCCTTTACCCTCTTCTACCATCTCCCCTCCCCCCTTACCCTCTGGTAACCACTAAACTATCGTCTGTGACTATGAGTTTTGTTTCTTCATTTGTTTTTCTTGTTCTTTTGTTGTTTTCAGTTTTATATGCCACATATCAGTGAAATCATATAGTTCTCTACTTTTTCTGTCTGACTTATTTCGCTTAGCATTATAATCTCAAGATCCATCCATGTTGTTGCAAATGGCACTATTTCATCTTTTCTTATGGCAGAATACTAGTCCATGAATGGAATTTCTTAAAGATTCATGACACCCTGCACTAATTTACCACTGCTCTTTAGCTTTCCAGGAGCAGCTATGAGTTGATATTGACCAGTCAAATTCTTCAAACTCTACACAATCAACATAAACTTTAAAAAATTGGTACAGGTGATAGAGAGTGTTGCCCCTAGATGAGTCTTCTCTGGAAAGCTGAGTACCCAATGCTAACTAGTTCTAATTCTGATAGTACCACATTTTAAGAAACTGAGTTCACAAATTATGCCAGAAGACCTCCAATGTCATTTTGAAACTAACATCATATAGCCATAAATACCATGTCTCTTCTCCTCTCCTTTCACATTATTATCCACGTACTCCGAGGCTCTAACTCAGAGACATTTTCAAAACTCTCTCTGTCCAAGTAACCACATGTACCACGCAGGTCCACCAACACACAACACCAGAAATTCAAGCCTGAGAGGAACAGACCAAAGTTTTTGTAAACAATGAGGAATTGAATATTTTCCCCTAAAATAGCTTTTCAAAAATAATAGGCACAATATAAACCTATATACATAATATGTAGTATGATGCTAATTATACATATTGACCATGAACCTATTTAATTTTTAAGTTGAACAAAAATAGTACTCAAGAAAAAAAACACATGAAAGGGGGAAAAAGTTATCATTTAATTAACCTGGAATAAGTCAAATCCTTACTTATTACCTGAAATTTTTAATATTCTTCCTTCAGGAGAAAAAGGCTTCAAAAAAGAGCTATGCTTGGTACAGAAAAATAAATGTCCCTTAGAGGAGAATGAATTTGTGCTTATATAATAATTACATATACAATAAATAAGTGTAATTAATTAAAAGATCCCATTTTTAGCACTAAAAAAGAGAGAAAGAAAGGAAGGGAGGGAGGGAGGGGGGGAGGGAGGAAGGAAAAGAAGAAACTCTTCCAAGCCCATAAGACCCTTATTTAAGTTTTTTTTAAAAATCATTAGGCAATAGTTTTTTTCCTAATCCTTAGGAAAACAGCTGATGGATTCCTCTCCAGAGCCTTTCTCCAGTGTTTTTGCTTAGACAATGATCTATGTCTATCTGAATACTTTGTTAAGGACATGGCCCAGTTGCCAATAATTACTGGTTTTGCTTTATTTACTGTGCAGAGCCCTTCAGGAAGGAAACACACCAAACTCTATATATAGACTGGTTATTACCACTGCTGTAT